TCTTATTCATTTCTACACTAAATTTATGAGTATTCATTAAGGTCTGTAGGTGTGGATGTGGAGGGTTTGGACTTCCATTTTCTCTTTATCCACTCTCACATCCGCACCCTTCCACATTCACACCCGAAGAACATCGAAATGCAAAAATCGCTCTCCCCGTCTGAGTGATTGCTAAAGTAGGTTTATGCAGGTGTGAAGATGAGCATTTAAGTCTGATGCTAGTGTGGAGCTGATGATGCTGAGAGAAGATGACATAATTCAATTGATTCAGTCTCTCTATCATTCTTACAGACCATCACCTTTACATTCACATCACACATCCATACCTTGTTGATTATGCCTTACAGTAGTGGAAAGAAATATTTTTTAAAGAAAACCTAAAAATTTTCTTCACAGTATGTTGCATAGGAGAACTCAAGTGTTCTCGAAACACGTATTTTAATTAAAAAATGCAACCATTATTAACTATTCAAGAGAGTCTTTTACATTTTCTTTTTTTCTCGTCGATACAAGATCGACCTTCAAATGTATCGAGAACGTTACCAGGCTTTCCGATTAGGAGGGGGATTGGGGGGGGGGAGGGTGCTATTCCCTCCCAAAATTGTGTGTCCGTCTGCGAAAATTTTTAATACTGTCTGCCAATGTTTTACAGCTGCTGGGAGAAATGACTGATTGTATGGGAGCCCGAGGGGGGGACGGTATGACCTAGGAGGCATTGCACGTAAGCCACGACCATTTTAAGCATAACCTTGCTCAATCGATGTCATCGATTTGGCTGATATTTTTACAGTAGATAGCCCACATAGAGTTAGGAATAAACTGAAAATTTCAGCTCAAACGGCCGAGTCATTCTTGAGATATGCGTGTTACAAGTATGAAGGAGTAGACTATATTTAGTATACTTTTTAGAGCACTACTTTTCATTAAATTTTCACTTTCCAGAGAACGATAAGAGATATAACCGAAATTTTTTTACCATGTATACTATCGATGATAGACTATCTTTTGGTGACATTAAAAGTATCTTACTCTCAGATAATATTTTCTTGGCACTATATACCATTTTTAGAAAAGGTGTTTCCAGAGATAAGGCCAATCGGTCGAATCAGCGCCGCAGAATTAATCGAGACTAGTCTCATTTGAAAGAGCAGATCACAATGCGTAGAATGACGTTGTCAGAATTTTGTGGAAATGAACTTTGGTAGCAAAAATTTCTTGAACAAGACTAGAAAGGCCAAATTTGGGGTCCGATTCTCACTGTGAAGATTAACGATTTGTTGTCAAATGTTCAATCTAAGTATTTACGATAGAAGCCCGTGCCGAAAAACCTCTAAATTCAAAATTTCAGCTCATTTGAACATGTCTGTAAAAAATTGTGAAGGATTTTGTTTTTTGTGAAACTTTATGGAATAACCTATACAGTCTATCTAAGTTTTCTAATATCCGTATTTCCATTAAAGTGCAGCCAAAAGATCTGAAATTTTTATCATGAACTATTCTCATCAAGTCCTTCCAACATGGGAAGTTTCAAGTCAAAACTCAAACTTTCATTTTTTTTCATCATCCTGAGGGGGACCACGGCAATTTCCCATAGGTAGTTCGTAAAAAAATCAAAGTTTGAATTTTGACTTGAAACTTCCCATGTATGAAGGACTTGATGAGAATAGTTCATGATAAAAATTTCAGATCTTTTGGTTGTACTTTAATTGAAATACGGATATTAGAAAAATTAGATAGACTATATACGTATGTTATCCCATAAAGTTTCACAAAAATAAGCTTTCACAATTTTTTACAGACATGTTCAAATGAGCTGAAATTCTGAATTTAGAGGTTTTTCGGCACGATCTTTCATCGTAAATACTTAGATTGAACATTTGACAGTAAATCGTTAATCTTCACAGTGAGAATCGGACCCCAAATTTGGCCTTTCTAGTCTTGTTCGAGAAATTTTTGCTACCAAAGTTCATTTCCACAAAATTCTGGCAACGTCATTCTACGTATTGTGATCTGCTCTTTCAAATGAGACTATTCTCGATTAATTCTGCGGCGCTGATTTGACCAATTGGTCCTATACACTGGGATCCTGTTGTTCGAAAATAACATATACTATTAAGCAAATATTATCTTACGATAAGATACTTTTGATACCATCAAAAGATAACCCATGGTCAATAGTATATATGGTAAAAAAGTCTCGATTATGCCTTTTGTCGTTCTTTAGAAAATGAAAATTTACTGAAACATTTTGTGCTGAAAGATGCTTCAAATATAGCCTACCCCCTCATACTTGCAACGTCTATATCTCCAGATTGGCTATTCCGTTTGAGCTGAAATTTTCGGTTTCTTCCTAACTTTGTTAGACCTACTTACTATAAAAATGCCAGTCAAATCGGTGACATCGATTGAGCAAGGGTAGATGTGGCTTACGTGCAATGCCTTCTAGTGAGTTTTCAAGTCTGCTAAGTTCGAGACGCCATCTTCCAATTCCGGTTGCCCGGTCTCGAAACCTTTTGATTAGACTTTGTAAAATATAGTTACTTTCCAAAAATACCCAGTCTCATGAAAAAATCTAGTAGTCAAAAATTTTCTCTTACCGAGTAATCGGTAACGGACTGTTACCATTACTTGCTAATAGATCACTTAACGGTCTGGTAACGATGACTTTTCTCACGAAGATCTATCAGGATCCACGAGGATCCAGGAATTCAGGATTCGTTTCTCTCCCCTTGGGTTCCATGAGCATAGCACGAAACCTTCGGAAATTCTATGGAGNAACTACAATTAAAAACGAATGCATTTTCATAATTTTGTTGATACATATACTGCTCGAAAAAGGGTGTTTTTAAAATATTAATTGCCAAAATGCATGGCATTCGTTGAGCTATTGCAAACAGTATAGAGTTAACTATTTACTATTGTTTCAATATATAGAAACGTTCACACCTTTTCCGACTTTTATTTGATCTTCCATGTATCTTGTGAATTCAGTCTTTATTTCTTTTATCAACGTGTAGCTTATCTAATCGTATTAGGACACATCCGCACCCTCAGAATATGAATCAAAACATTGCAGATCGATAGTATCGATAATAAATAACTTCAATTTCGGTGTAGCCTACTATAACCTATGTCACATTCTGAAAAACGTCATGCTGTGAGAAACTAATATCAGACAACGATAGTTTTTTAAAATATAAAAAAATGAAATACCACTAGAGCTTGTGAACGCCTTAAGGGAACGGGGAATGGGAACAGAAACGAATATTTTTTTCTCGGAAATGGGAAAGGGTATCGGGAATAAACATTTTTCTTACGGGAACTCAAAAAAGTTGTTCCCGCAGGACTCTAATACGAAGGGAGTCACCATCTTGAATATTAAAACATGTTTCTAAAGGAAATCGCAAATGTGCTACGCTTTTTTTGATGACGTGTAGTGGTACAGTAGGTGTATATTCTCTGCTGAACTAGACATCTGTATAGGCATTAATGACGTTAATGACATTTAGAATGGCTGATGTGCTTAATCTACTGCAGTACTGAGACCTTCGTCATTAATATAAATTCAAATAACTTCTACGATCGAAGATAGAAAAAATGGCCAAGCGATTTGTCTCTCTAAACTCTTCATACACATTTGTACACAGAAAAATCAGTTGAATAACTGCGCTCAAGTAAAGAGTAACTATACACGCATACAAAATTTTCTTACAAAATATACAATCATCACGAAGTAAAAAGCAAAATTTTGCAATGAGACTCTGCAGTAAAAGAAAAAGCAACGCAAATGACTGTTTTTAGGTTTCAACTTCACTTTCACTCCCTCAGTACTGCCAGCAAACAGCGCGTGTTCGTTTATTTGCATTATGTTTCGTACGTTTTGCAAAATTACTTTCTTCCTCAGAGAACAACAACCTATCATCAGTCGAATCAAGATTATTCTACATGCTAGAAAGAAACTAAGGAGAGCAAAACAGTAGAGAAACTACTACGAAACGGTATTGATTCAGCTGAACGTATGTCCTCGTTATCGACATCTGTACCCTTCTTTATTGATATACTGAGACTTTATTAATATACTATGATATTGTTTTCGAAAAAAAGAATTGAAAAATAAACGTGGGTAATGACACTCAATATGTAAAGCTTATGAAGCGTATTAGACGAGAGAAACAAGTGTAGTTTTATCATCCCCATCGAATCTTGTACTGTGTATTGTACTCAGAGCTTCTAGGGTGTGCATATAGAGAAGAACCACAATCACACCCACACCCTCCCACTCACACGCATTCTTCTTAAAAATGACTCTTGAATACAGAAGAAAAAGACAGCATGCTACTTTTCAATTGCTCTGTATCAATGCGTATTTGTAAAATATGCCTGAAACTGCACGTAGTTGGAAGAAATGAAAGAAAAAAAAAGAAAGAAACAAAGCGAGAACCTCATACACATACATTATTGACTACTTCAAATATTGACATTTTGTTACAAATTTGTTGTTGATGGCTGTTTCTGATGAGTCTATTAAGAGAACTCTTTCTAACTCTTGCTTGCTGCAAGAAACTAAAAAAACCTGCCGTGAACAAGTTACAACTGTATTTGGTGAATTGAACGATCTTTTGAAATATTATATTGTTTGGTATAACGAACGTCATGACAATCCTTTAGAGTATTATAACATAACAACTCAGTTGTGGCATGGTGTTGTTGATTATTTGGAATGTTTTATCAGTATAGAAAAATGCAGGGAATATATTCAATTGTGGACATATGATTGCCAATACGTTATTTTGATTTGTGATACCTTAACTTCATTTCAACGGTTGATTACTGATAAGAGCATTTTGACGGTCGTGCACTCGATTTATATTTGTCAGGAAGAAATAGATAAACCGTCGAGTTTCGAAACAAATATCGATGATTGCAGACAACATGAAAAGGTAAAAAACTATTCTTGAATTCATCTTCACTCTGAGATCTATAGTATCAGAAATAGATACATGATATTCACTGTTATCGATACAATCTTCAGAATCGTAAATCGTTTAGACTTTTTACTCGGTTTTTGCTTTATGCTGCATGTATTGAACTTTCGAGGGTGTGGGTTCTACCTAAATAAAATTCACACGCACATCCATTCATACCTAAATTATTTTACTTCCGCCTTTTCCTGAGCAGTTTAGTAGACTACCCTGTCTTTCCTGGACTTCCAGTGCGAAAGATCTAAGTTTCCAGAAAGTCTGTGTGTTCAAATCTTAGATTTAAGATCGAACTACTCCGAAATCAGATAAGACAAATCAGTTGGTCACAAAACTTGAAACAACTTGCAGACGAATGTCTGGTTTGAATTATCACTGATGTACGCATGAAAACACCTTGGCATTTCAATTGATACAATCATCTCTTAATGAATTAAGGGCCTCTTCTGCTCTTTAAAAAATCGAATTTTTGAGAACAATATTGAAGTTGAGCTTTTATTCCAGAACGATGCAGCGAAGCTTCCTCATTCAGAATATGTATAGATTTTTGGAAAATGTTCAGATTTTCAAACACGTATCACATGAAACTTTAAATCTATCACCATATTTTTAGAGAAATTGTAAAGGTTTTCCAGTTTCAGAAAAATGGCGTTCTCACTGATATTATCATTGAATAGAATAGTTTTATACTGATCGTTCTTGATTACTGATAAATCTATCACGAGCATTTCATTGAGACTAAAATGATTATTTGGAAATTCAAATGCATTTTAGATTAAAGGCATCTATAATGATTACAAAGAACTATTCTTCGCCGTTTCACAGGAAGCTCGTCTACTGGGACGTCAAAATTTTGTGTTAGTACCGAAAAACATTCCTACAAATTTATCAGGCATTTTTGAACGCACCACTTGCATTAAGCCACGTTCGAATGACGATTATTTCTATAATTTTCTTGACTCTCTAACTGAAATCGATGCTAGTTCAAATGGAAAAGCCATTTTTGTTAAAGAATGTCGTCGATTATTTGCTGAAGAACAGTCAGTACTTCGAGTAATTGATGAATTCGATAGAACTTATGTGCCCGAACGAGCCATTTATTGGTACACACGTAATGGTTTTCTTTACAATATTCTTAATCAAGCTCTCCGCCGACAAAATATTGAAGCATTAATGCTCTTACATTTCTTTATTCGAGACTTGGATGAGCAAATTCTTGGTGCCCTGGATCAACAAGAAAAAGATGAGTGGAAACCCAGTGTTGATCTCTATCGTGGCCAGCGAATGTCGCTAAATGAAATTCAAGATATGAAAGCAAGTTATCGAAACTGCTTTTTCTATAGTTTTCTTTCAACAACAAAAAATATTGAAATTGCTCGAGTATTCTCAGGAGCGGGGCAAATTATGGAAGATGAACCGGTTCAACCTGTTATTTTTCATTTTGATTGTTCCATGATGAAATTTACTAGAGGTGTTGCGAATATTCAACATCTAAGTAATAATGCAGAGGAAGAAGAAATTCTTTTTTCTCCGCTTTATAGTTTCACCGTCAGAGATGTCAATTATGATGAAAACGAAAAGGTTTGGTTTGTCAAATGTGACATGTGTGGTGATGAGACTGACTTGCCATTATTATTGCATCAACGCTTAATTAAACTTGATATTACTGTTCGTGTACTGATGAACAGTGTTTCCACCGACGAAGATTCTGTGGAAACTGCCAGTAAAACATTTTCTAATGATATGTCTGTTCTATTAAATGAACTCATTATTCCAGAAGGCAATATTGTGACATTGGATGAAAACGCCCAAATACCAAAGAATACCAAACATGCGGCCACTGCACTTTTTCTTCTCAAAGGACTACGATATTTCAATGCTGATTCATTCGGTCATAAGTCAGAAATTCCAACAGATGCATTGGCTACACTCTGGGATTGTTTGGCGACCATGTGTAAGGAAAAAGGTGAATTTCAACGTGCCTTGGACTACTTCGAGAGGGCAGACTCTTGTGCTCAAAATATTTTACCGACGATTATTGCTCGTAAGGTAAACTGAAGAGTAATTATTTTTAACAGCTTCAACTGAAAGTTTTTCATTAAAAAAAAGGTGATTCACTGTCAGTTTGCTCTAAGGACTTTAATAGAAATATTGCGATACTATTGTTTTCACCTCTCCACAGGATGTCTTTTTGTTTTCTTTTCAATGATGAAATTCGATTCATGATATTCAAGATTCAGTTTCATAGTAACTTTTCTATCTAATGTACATAATAACGAGATTTATAGAACCAAAAATTCACTTCAGTCATAGTGCAAATGATCATTTTCCTGACTATTAAAGAACGAAGGACTAAGGTATATGTGATACCTAAATACTTATACTCATATGTTCATTAAATATTCTTAAATCCGTTGACAACGAGTAGACGTAAAGGACAATTGATCTTGTGTGAAGATGTAATCCGAGACCTTCATGATTAATTACTATGTCCCAAACAAGTTTTGCAAATGACGAGTCAAATGTTTTGAAGATTCTCAAAACTCTGACAAAGTACATGTTGATAAGAGAAAGAAATTCAAAAATAACAACGAGTCAACTATGGATAACTTCTGATTTTTCAAATGTCGTAGTTTTTGTTCTTGTTGAAGAAAGAAATAGTAATTTAACAATATTCTCAATGACAAAATAATATTAAGTTCTGAAAAAAAAACTACCTATTGCCCTCCAAATCAATTAGAATAAGTAAACTCTCAGTAATATATGGAAAGCAGAAAAATCACAATAGTCATAAATAAATAGTTTTCCTTTTGCATTTTTTGTGTGAAGTGAGAAAATACTTGTAATATTTCATTCAATTTCATTTCATCAAAGGTAAATGTGGCACAAGTTCACAGAATGATAGGTAATCATAATCAAGCATGGTCTATTTATCGACAGTTATCAGATGAATACTTTGATATTCCAGATAATGATACTTATCATGTGTTTGAGGAAATTGCAACTGGTATCCCATATATAGAATCGGAAAAAGCAATGGAAGTTTGGTATCCAAATATTTTTGATTATCTAGAGTATGTTTGTGTTCGTTGCCAAGAAACACCAACGGACAAATCGCATTTCAAGAATGTTCTTACACAAATATACAGTTCTCTGGGACATGCTTATTGGTACCTTGCTTACAACAAGCAAAGTGCTGTTCTTTGCTATAATCGATGGAAAAACATCTTGGAAGAAAACAACGAGTCGTTGGGTGAATTCTTTGTCTATTTGGCTCATACATATTTTAAAGATGATCCAATGCAAGCAAAAAGTCTCTATGAACAGGCGATTGTCGAGTTATCAATTTTAGAAGAAAGGTGGAGTTTGGAACTTGCTATATGTTATAGTCGTCTTGGTTGCTTACAAAAGAGAAAACGCTTTTTTATTCGATGTTTCTATCTACTTACCTATGTTGAAGATCTTACGATTTTGTTACACAATCATTTAGAAGAAGTTGCTGAATGCTACTTATATTTAGCAAAATGTTATGATCAAGCTGACTTTATGACCATGAAAACAACTGCTCGGCAATTTTGTGAACAAGCTCTACGTCTTTTTCTAAATGTCAAACCGCCAACTTCGAACTTTCGAGAAATGCACGAATGCGTTGAATTACTTCTGAATCTTCAAGAGAATAATGGTAAACAAAGTTTATGTTTTTTTTTTGCAACAGTTTTATTACTCATATATGTTTTTCTACAGATGAAGTCAACAATCTTAGAACGACCAACAAGAGCGAATTGTTGCAAAGAATATACGACAAGGAACCGATTACTGAACAAGAACTGAAGCATATGCTCGAAAGCACTCTCAATATCCTTAATAGTAACAATTATATATCAGAATCAATGATCGAAGAAATATGTGTTGAGAATATCGAATAGATTGCCATATCAAACGATCGATTATTGAACCCATCAATCAATTTTACATTTATTAGTTTTTTTTTTAATTCAGACATCAGTGTAAAATTTCGTTCCATCAATATTTTCTCATTTGATCAAAAGTGTCACAACGATAAGAGCTAAATCATCAATAGTCACTGACATTTTGAAATATTGAATATGAAATTTTTTTCATTTCAAGTAAGACTCTTCTATACACAGAATCATTTAGATTTACACGCCGCAACTGTGGTAGAATTGTATTGTACTCGAGATTAATTTATTTAAATAAGTTCAGACATGTATAATATGTTAGTAAGGCTAACTAGATGAAAAGGAGTGAAGAAAAGAAAATCAAGCGCATCAACTTAAACATACTCGACGCCAAATGACTTTATATTCTTTTTCATAATATTAGCACAGTTTACCGGATCATTAAGCTATCTATTTGGTGTTTCTTCAGAAGTCAAACCGTCTAGTAATATTTTCGGCAGTGGCACATTGCCTCGAATAGCCACACTCTCTTTTTGATTTATTATCATATAATTATTATTATCAAAGACGATGTCGAATTTATCTAATACAAGCATTTAAATCATTTTGGACGGTAAGAATCAGCGCTTTATTGTATCAATCAAAATGATTGTCTGTAATAGCAACGAGCATTATATCGAACACGTTCGGAACAGAATACGAAACGCGTATTTAGGGTGTGGATGGCTGTTGCGGTCATTCTATTCATTAAAACGCATACGCACATCCTTACTCACATCCAACAAACTTAAAACATGACCATAAGAACATTTGTTTCAGTAATAGATAATATCAATGTTTCATTTAAATTAATTCGATAGAAATAAATTTGATCATGCCCAAGTGTATGCTAGCAGATGAACAAGTTCAAAAGCAAATATATCGAGACCAATAAATTTGAATGATAGAGCTTATAGAAGGTATTAAAAAATAGCATGAAATACATTTAAGCGAAGCCTTTGATCGAATTAAAGACAAGTTGAATGACGACTATAGGTCACATAATTACGTTGAATAATTTGCGTTAGTTAGTGAATGTGTAATTATTTTTGATGAGCGAAAATACGATTGCTAAGACTTTTTAGATTTTAATTCAAAATCATAGTTATAAAACAGCTGTTGTAATGATTTGATCGAATAATTAATTGAATAGATTAATTCAGTTTTTTTAATCATTCAATAATTTGAATTTAACCTGATACTGTTTTAATAAAGCCAAATAATATTTTTGTACAAATTGCTTTACTAATTTTAAAATAACGTGTTCATTTATTTTTATATGTTGTACATTTGTACTGAACTTCTTTGAACTACTTGATAGTAATATTCGATATTGTTTTAATAAATTCATTAGACATAAAAGAATAATACTTTGCCAATGAGTATTTATCGATAAAGAACATATTTGTTCGGCAAGATTTACATCAGTTAATAAGTACCTAAATCGTTCAGCTAAAATAACACCTTAACGGTGTACAGCCAACAATATCTATCAGTAGTGAACAACAGTACCAATCGATCGGGAAATTGTTCCTCTTCAAGGAGAAATGCTTTACCCTATAAAAAGTCATGCATAACAAGGATAAATGGAAAAAGCACTATATATATATATATGCATCAATGACTTATTGTCCTTCTACATATATTTCATTTCTCCTTGTCTATTATACACTTCTACTAGAAAGGATAGAAACGGTGCATTCATTTCTCCTAGAAAGGTTTATATTTATGCTGTATAAAATCCATTTCTCCTAGAACTTCACGTTAAACTGAAAAATAATCTTATATATTTCTCCTCGTGAGGGTAGATATGGTTGATGCGTTTCTAATCGAAAAATTTAGTGGTGGAGTGTGTTTCGCTATGAAAAGCGTTTCTGCTTGACTTTGTGTGAGGTAAAGGATTTCTGCTATAAGTCGAACAATATCTCGATTTTGGGGGATACCCTCCAGCCCTCATATTTATGGGTTTCATTGTTGAAGATATCAATCAATTAAAAACAAGGGAAGCAATGAGGTTTGTGTACAGAATAGAATTAAACTAATGAAAGAATAGATGCATAAATACCCGCAAAATATGAATGAACAAACTGACAAAAACTAGATATTTTCTTCGGTTAAAATTAATTTATTTTAGCTTGAGTAAAATATTTATTCATGTAATTTGCTTTATGTTACAAATATTCAAGATCTAATACTTTATCTCGACAAGATTTTTCGTAGAAAATCACCCTTATCGTAGAAAATACGTTTTCTCATATGGCAGAAAGGGCTTCAGAACTTTTATGAAAGCATTATTTCAGACTATTTATCCACAATGGCCATTGATTTCAACATAAGGTAACAGACTCTACTAATATAGATCACATTTCACACATATTATCGATCATGCCACATCATCTACTCTTTCAAATAATTTTTCAAAATATATAAATGGGTACCTCCACCAGAAATCGCCAGCCGATCCAGCGACCATGCCTAAATTTGTTGAAACTTTCAGAGTTTGTAGAGCTTTTTACGCTAATTATTTTGATAATAAAATTTTTCAAAAAATAAACTCCGCTTTCGCGAAGATACAGGTCAAATACGAAGAATGCACTTTTTTTAAAACAAAAAAAAAAAAAACCTGCATTTTTATCAAAATAGCGATGAAAGTCCCACTTTTTTTACTTGAATTTTTAAAGCCAACCACATATTCAGATTCCTCGTGAAAAAATGCGTCAGAATCCATAGGAATTAAAATACTTTTGACGAATTTTATAGGTCAACTAGGTCTTTAAGTAATGCACTAGAGAATAACAGTGTTTGAAAAAATCGATCAGAAAGTTGGAATGAACCAGAATGCTGGCATTAGCAGTTTGATAGAGCAAAACTTGATCTACAAGATGCACTATTTAGTTTAGCCTCCACTTTAAATTGAGAAAGGAATAAGGGTGCACAATACGTTGGATTACAATTTTTCACCAAAATTTTGATGAATTTATTCGTCAAATCTGATCACTTGGTCCGATCACTGTTTCCAAATTCAGTTCAACGTTCATCACTTGTAGAGCTTTTTACGCTGATCATTTTGTTAATAAAGTATTCAATGTTTGATTTTAT